CGAAATTTTTGATAATGACATTTCTGTAAATAAGGTTTTTACTAATAAAGGATTTGAGGGCAAAATAAACACGGCAAAATCAGTAGTAATTAAAATAAAATAAGAGCTAATCTAGTAATTAAATAATAAATTAGTGCCAAACTAATTTTTTTCCCAAAAATATATTTCCTTTTCTCTTTTCTTTTTTTTCCAACAAATAATTCATATGTTTCGGAAAATTAAAGATTACTTTCTAAGTTTAGAAAAATAAATATTTAGTTTCCATGTTTTCTTAAATTAACAAAAAAAAAATTGTTATTTAAGAAAACATGGAAACTAATTTGACAAACATGGAAATTTGTTCTTAAATAACAAATTTGAAACTTTTTTTGTTATCCCCAGTCAAAATCTAGATTTTATTTTAACATTTTCCAATATCTTGTTCTCCAAAACTCTTATCCACCACTTTACTATATAATGGAGAATCTGATAAGATTCAAGAAAGCTTCAAAAACAAAGTCCCCATGGTGAATTACGATGATATGAAGCCTTTCATTCAGCGAATCGCTGATGGCAAATCGTCTGGTATCCTCTCTACTGAACCCATCACTGAGCTTCTCACTAGGTAAAACACATTCTGTTTCTTATTATCTACATAAGTTATAAAACAAGCATATAAACGAGTTATGCTATATTATCTTAAAGTCAAAATGCTGTCACGTTTTAGACCCATATTAGAAAACTCGGTGAGTAGGCAATTTGACGGCCACGCTCACACTTAAAGATTATTCGAGTGGTAAAAACCCGGATAACCCCGTACTATCAGAAAACAGAATGTTGTCTTCCTTTTTCTTCTTATTATTACTACTGTGTTCTAAGAATGATCTATTAAATTATTAAAGGAGGATTAGTGAGATTACATAGTAATACTATTAAACTAATATTTGATGCAGCTCAGGGACTTCTGGTGGACAACCGAAATTGATGCCTTCTACAGCTGAAGAATTGGATAGGAAGACATTTTTCTACAACATGCTTGTGCCTATCATGAGCAAGTACTAATTACATTTCTCATTTTTGTTGAATCTCCTAAGAAAAAAAAATATGAAAAATGTTGTTTTAATGGATTTATGGGGTTTATAGGTTCGTGAATGGGCTCGATGAAGGAAAAGGAATGTATCTTTTGTTCATAAAACCAGAGATCAAGACTCCTTCTGGCCTTAAAGCTCGTCCTGTGTTGACTAGTTACTACAAAAGTCAACAATTCAAGAACAGACCATTCAACAAGTACAATGTCATCACTAGCCCTAACGACACCATTCTTTGTGAAGACAGCAAGCAAAGCATGTACTGTCAGCTTCTTTGCGGTCTAGTCCAACAATCTCATGTCCTAAGACTCGGTGCGAGTTTCGCCTCTGCTTTTCTTCGAGCGGTCAAGTTCTTGGAGAGTCATTACAATGAGCTTTGTGCTGATATTAGGACCGGTACTATCACTAGCTGGATCACTGAGTCAGCTTGTAGAGACTCGGTTTTGTCGATCCTTAACGGTCCAAATCCAGAACTGGCTGATGAAATCGAGTCTTTGTGTGGTGCTAAGTCGTGGGAAGGAATCTTGAGAAAGATTTGGCCTAAGACTAAGTACATTGAGGTGATTGTTACTGGCTCAATGGCTCAGTATATTCCGACACTCGAGTTTTATAGCGGAGGTTTGCCTTTGGTTTCGATCATGTATGGTGCATCTGACTGTTTCTTTGGTATTAACATTAACCCTATGTGTAAGCCATCAGAGGTTTCTTACACACTTCTTCCTAACATGGGTTACTTTGAGTTCTTGCCTGTTGACGACAAATCTCTTGACAAATCGCATTCAACCGTTGATGATAATGCTCTTAAGGGAGAAGATCTTATTGTCGATCTTGTTAATGTCGAAATTGGTCGCTACTATGAACTAGTCATCACTACATTCGCAGGTCAGTATCTCTCATTCACA